ATTCACAAGACACGGGGCAAAAATTAGAGGCCTGTGGAGCTCGGGTCTTACTGAGGAACAGGAGAGCAAAGAACAGCCGTGACCAAGTTACTGGATGGCTATTAAGTCTCAGACAGGACTTAATCCTACCTCTCATTCTTCCAAGGACTCGGTATTCTGTAGTTGTTTGTTTGTGCTCCTCCTTACATTGCCCCAACATGGAGCCAGTCCTTTTAGCCACGCACTGGCATTCTTGGCACTATAAAAGCCCAGATGCCAAGCTTTGAATTTTCATTTTCTTCTCCTGCCCGCTCTATCAGCAGCATCTGTGCCTGTGGTTGCTTCCTGGCTGGCCTCTTATCAAGGCTTTGTCTCTGACTTGGTGGCTGACTCCAGTGCTGTTTGTGATGACAGCTGTTGCACTGCTGTGGAACCAGCCATCTGGGGATTGACTTGTCCTCTTGGACACTGCTTGCTTCCAGCTGTCAGGAATTTATTGCTGGCCTGAAAATAATTTGGTATGTAAATACATTCTTCATAATATCCAAGCTATTACTTCCACAGGCAATGCAGCGGTTGCCTCATAATTCCCCTTCCCAGGTGTTTCTCTTCCCTCAGCATGGGGAGGGATGGCTCTGATCACTCAGTACAGCGTTCAGCAGTTTCAGGCCTACAAGTATGATCTTTCCTCTCTTTGGACTTAATCCCTCTGCAGTGGCTGGGGGAGGAACCACTGCATTCCCACCCTCAGGTGCTCCAGCAGTGGGGTCACCCAGACTGCTGCTTCTCTCTCAATGAAGAAAAATGCATTTTCTTGCATTTGAGTTTTGATATGACCCCTTATCTATCAATGGTGAAATCAAATGGTTCCAGTCTAAAAAAAAAAAAAATCAACCTTCTAAACAGAAATATAAGCACCCATTTAATTCCATTGAGAATAATTTCCCTTGAGGGTGTGCTATTGATGTTTCCTCTTATACCTAACACTTTATAAGCATGAGGTGTTTTGACTATGTTTGGGTTTTGTTCTTTTTTTTTTTTTATAAAAAAAAGCTGATTTATGGAATGTGGGCTTCAACAGTACATGTAGGCTGTGAGAGCAATAGTGCACAGTCAAAATTTAATTTGCAGGACAGGAATTGCTACATAAATTTAAATTTAGTCCAGCATTATTCCCCTCAGGCAACAGCATTAGTCACTACCACCAAATGCTTTTGTGGTGGAGCTGCACAAGGTTATTTCCACCTAGCAACTACCAGAAGAAAGTTAAAGAAAGATGCACAAACCTGGGAAATTGGAAAATGCCCACCCCCATAGTTTTTATGGGAAATAGACTGCCAAATCCTGCAGGCTTGCATTAAATATATATATTTCAACTCTCCCTTTTAATGGAAAAAAGTATGCCCTTCCCAGATAAGCAAAGCAGGATTTTCTGTTGTTTTATAAGCATTTCACCTCTTTCTAAGTAAAGGTGTTGGTTCTTCAGCCCAACAGCCTGTCCCCTTCCCTCTCAGCAGTCACACTGAACCAGGAGCACCAGAAAGGTCAGGAGCAAGCCTCCCACAGACTCCACAGCTATGCAGACTTTTCACATCAAACAATCCCCCAAATCAATAGGTGCTATCAAACAGCCTAAGCCTGCCAGACCCTTGTTGTGGTCAGCATCTTTTCCTTCCCTTCTGCTTCCACCACAGCCAAGCTGGTGAGAGTTGCCCCAGGTGAGCCTCAACTACCTGTGCCCACAAAGTCCTCCTTCAGCAGATGTGCAGCTCTTTGGCTTTTTCATGCCCTGCCCTTTTAGCACAGCATTGAGGAACATAGAAAGGGTGTAAAGGCACCACCTTAAACACCTCCACAAGGTTACACCATCAGGGATAAGAAACAGCAGTAGCAAGAGAATAGTTGTGTCACAGAGTGTCTGCAGGGTTGTTGGTTTTTTATTATTGTTATTTTTATTCATTACGGGAAACCCATAAAGCACACAGAGCTAAGTTAGGACTTCATTTCATGTAAAAGTTGGGTTGACATGGTTTTTAGGGCACAAACTAGGCGAGCCCACCAGCAGTGCTGGAGTTTCAAAGCTCCAGAGCCCCCCAGAAGCCCAGCCCCAGCTCAGCTCTGCTCCTTCCAGCTGGCCCTTGGCAACCTGGTTTCCTGCGTCCGTAACCCCTCTCTCCCAGCCTCTGTGTCGTAACACGCTGGTAACAATAACATTGCTGAAATCGGAATGCTTCACGGGCCAAAAAGCTGAGCTCAATCAACGCAGGGGGAAAGCAAACCACGGAGAGCTATTGTTTCTGAAAGCAGTCCAAAAACTCTTGGCGCTTCAAGGCATTCCCAATGTCCTTTGCACTATTTCCAGGAAAAATGATTCCCAAGGCCATGTGTATTAAAAAAATCTGGCTTATATCAATAAACATGATAACTGCTGTATTTTCTCTCTTTAATCAGAGCACAGCTAGCATGTAGAAGCAATCAGAGCTGAGTCAAATAGCCTGTTTTAAGTGTAGCATTTCAAAGCTCTAAAATTCCCCATTGAGGAGAATAATTTAACTCTTGGGGCTCCTGAACCTGGGCATCATCTATGACCAGATTTATGTCATGCAAATTCTTCAAGAAAATTTGTGGGTAGATGTTGGCAGAATAAGCAGTAGAAGCAGAAGGGCAGAAGTTTTTCTGACCAAATAAGCTTATTCAACTTGCCTCTGTTGTTGTGGAAGCCCAGTGTGCAGTAGTGGTTGGGTTGCAAGCCTAAACTCAGTATTATCAATTGTGATCTCAAATCCATACGTGCTGACTTCCAACAAGTCATTCAAAATGCAGCAAGGATGCAAGGGGGTTGAGAGTTTTAGAGGATATAAGGGATCCATCCTCCCTCGTCATCCCCCACAAGTACAGGTCCAAGCACCCCCTACCTGATACAGGAAATTCAGCTTACAATGAAATTGTAAATGACTTCAAACTGTCAGAAAGAGAAAACTTCAGGCAACATATTGTGGGGAAGAATCTTGAGTCAGTAACAAACCATTGTCAATCCCCACTGAATTGCTCCCATACTCTTTCTACTAACTGTAACAGAAGTGTTGCGCTTATAATTCAATACAACTGATCACAGCAAGAAGTTGCAGACATCCCTTGTTTAGGATAATAGGAAACACATATTTTGCCTCATTTTAACCACTGGAAGTTGGGAAACGCTTCCATTTTCTGCATTGTGAACAGTTCTGCAGTGTTATGTAGCAAAGAAGTTTCAGAAGGCTCTGTTCTCCCTATCCATGGGGGTCTCAGATGGGTGGTTTTGGAACGAAGAACTTATAATACCTAGGGAACTGAAAGGACTAGGTGTACTTTAAGGTTTTACTGCTCAAGGTAAGTTTCTACTGTTTAGCGAAGGTACAAATGATAAATGGCCACAACTCTAATTTATATATATCACAGAATCACAGAATCACAGAATCTCTAGGTTGGAAGAGACCTCAAGATCATCGAGTCCAACCTCTGACCTAACACTAACAGTCCCCACTAAACCATATCCCTAAGTTCTACATCTAAACGTCTTTTGAAGACTTCCAGGGATGGTGACTCAACCACCTCCCTGGGCAGCCTGTTCCAATGTCTAACAACCCTTTCAGTAAAGAAATTCTTCCTAACATCTAACCTAAAACTCCCCTGGCGCAACTTTAGCCCATTCCCCCTCGTCCTGTCACCAGGCACATGGGAGAACAGGCCAACCCCCATCTCGCTAGAGCCTCCTTTAATATACTTATACAGAGTGATAAGGTCACCCCTGAGCCTCCTTTTCTCTAGGCTGAACAAGCCCAGCTCCTTCAGCCGCTCCTCATAGGACTTGCTCTCCAGGCCCCTCACCAGCTTCGTCGCCCTTCTCTGGACCCGCTCAAGCACCTCGATGTCCTTCTTGTAGCGAGGGGCCCAGAACTGAACACAGTACTCGAGGTGCGGCCTCACCAGAGCCATCCTTTGCTGCAAGAACCACACTAAGAAAAAGTAAGCCATGGTCTGCTACCTTTATGAGAACTGGGAGAGGCTTAGGGCTTCTTTTTCAATTTCAACCCATGTGCTGGCTCTACCACAGTCCCACAGAACAACCACTATGTTCCCCACAGAAATGCACAGAGCAATGAAATGGTTTTTCAGGCACATTTCAAGGAAACAGGAATTATGTTAGGGCATTTTGTTTGTTTTCCAAAAATCTGCACACCTTATGATGTTCTACCTCACACCTCTATCACCACTTCACCTATGAGACTTTGCAAACAAACAGCCCTACTGCAGTATTTAACATTTTCATAGTGATTGTGAAACTCCTTACATGTCATGCAAAATTAAAGACCAAAGATTACTAGAATCAAAGCAGTTTTGTTCCCTTGTTTAGCTGAACATACTGCCAGCTCTGTGACTCCACAAGTGTTATTTAAATGAAGTCAATTCATTAGTCAGGTTCATTGCAGAGGTTGTGTTGTGCTTTGTTTTTTCATTAATAGCTTTGCAGCTGCTCTACCTCGAAAAATTGGGCCTCAGAAACATGGGGCTGAGTGCTGGAAAGACCTTACTTCCTTGTGTAGTATCAGCGCATTGGTAAGACAGTTTTCCTACAGCAGCAGTTGGTCCTACCGTTGTCACCCCCTCCTGGCACTGCTGGGCAACGGGATTCCCATGCGTGAGGTGCTAATGCCTTTGGGAGGGCTCAGTGACTGGAGCCAAGGGAATAAATAGTTATGTGACCACACAAGTCCACTCCCCCGCTCAGGCTGTCAGTAACACCTACAGACAAATAAGCAGCACCGTTATGAAGAACAGCATTCGAGGTTGTGAGGGCACTCCGTTCCCCTACAAAGCAAAGAACTGAAAACATTTGGTCTGCTCGGGAAAGAAATGCAGAGCCTTTGTAATTGCTACAAGAAAGCTCTGTCAAGCATAAAAGGAGGTTTAAAACACGCAGCAAAGACTAAGACCCAGTGACAAAACCTTGGACCAGATCTTATTTCCTTTCTTTGTTGCAGAGACCCCTGGAAAAGCCGGATGGCCTGGATGTTTCAGACCAGAGCAAAGAACATCCCCAGCACCTGTGTGAGAAGTGCAAAGTTTTGGGCTACTACTGCCGCCGTGTGCAATAAACCTTCCAAGTGGCCTCTTCCCGTCCCCATCATCCTGAAAAATCCTCTGGCAGCACGTGATCAACAGCAACACAACAAATCAAGATAAAAGCTAAAATAATTGCCAATATTGCCTATCTATAACCTAATAGTATGCCTTACAGTAACAGAATGTAGTATTTCTCCTGTGTATGCACACACATGCAACAGGTATTTACAGGACTATGGTGAATTCGTATACATACATATGTAAACTTACATATATATGTACACACACATTTATATAAGCATTACTGATAGTGTTCACAACAGAACCACAGCTGCGGGTTCTGCTGATTGTTTACACAGACCCTATATCATGGCCAGGTGAAATGAAGTACTATTCATTAGGCAAGATGTAACATTGACAGGGAATATGTGATAAATGGGTTTTGCAGAGGTTAAATAACTGTGGGGCCACTAATTGCAAGCACTCACCCACAACATGAACATTATTCCTATTATATGACAAGACAAAGGAAGATTAAACAAGCCACAACATAAAAGAAGGAAAATCATTGTTTTCCGAGTTTTAGAAAGTCTGAGAGTTTTGTGCTGCTGCTTTCTTGGACTTTTCTATTTGTTAGTGTCATTTGGGCAGGGCTTAGGCAAAATCTTTTTTTTGCAGGATGTGGCCAAAAAAAGTGAATAATTGTTTGAGGGTGTGGTTTGTGTAGAAAGGGAATGCCATAACAGGACCCAGAGCATCAGGAAGGATTCCAAGAGGTTTTTGGAGGAGATGAAATTGGCTTGCTTGTGTGACTAACAGATCCTTCTCTTGTCATATAATTCTGCTACAATGGTCCCTGTATGCATATCGGCTATTCATTGGGCTGAAAGCACACTAAATTTACTGTGAATAACGGGGGATAAGAATGTTTAAAATTGTCCCCCAAACCCTTAATTAAATGATTAGCCAAACTTACTATTTATAGTAGTTTTAAAGCCACTTTCTGGAAGTATTTTTATGTCCTGTTTTCTACTGTGCAAATTGTTATAACAAAAACTTTTTAGCCATAAGGGTGTTATGAGGCATGAAGAGCACTCTATATAACCTTCCCACTTCTGTCTTCCTGATACACCTATATACCTTAGGAGCAATGTAGGAGTTATATTTGGTTGTCCCATTTCAGGTAGAACTTTGGGCAGGGGCATCCTGTTGCAAAGAAGTATCTCATCAGGGATTGGAAAATACCATGAAATGAAAGTACCTCGAGACAGTATCCTGTTTGTCTGTCTATATAAGTACAGTGACACAACAAGCAATTCAGTTGCATAACTTACTAAGAAAAATTACAGGGATAATGGTTTGTGTTTTATTTTTTAATCAACAATTTCTATTTTTGTGAAATTTCCTTTAGAGAGATTGGTTGGTGTGAATGATACCTAGCAGCAATATTTTAAGTCCTAAATAACTTGATGTGAATTTAATCTGTTTTGAGGATTAACTCCGTAATGCTAATACAGAGGGTTTTTTCTGCCAAGCAATACCAAGATGTAACTAAGTATGTACAGTCAAGCTCTTGTAACGCAAATTGAATACTTACTGAGCATTCTTATAGGAAATGTGAAGCTCTTCACAAATTTGCCCTGAGGTGAAATTTTCCACTATTTCCCTGCTTTGCTATAAACAGGGCAAAATTGTTTCTGCTGATTCTGGTGGAAGGGTTATCTATATATCTTGCAAACTTCTTTATTTATGTGTAAGCCCAGGTCAGCCTACTGGTCAATGGAAAAACATCGGGATTTGTTGCTTCTGACCGTGATTCTTTCAACAGCTCACTGATTTGGGGCACGTCACAAGATCCTTTTGGATCTCAGTCTCCCCAGCTGCAAAATGGGGATAATAATACTGTGAGGCTCACAGGATAATAATGCTGTGAGGCTCATGTAATATCTACTAGAGCTTTGACATCACTGCATGAGAAAGGCTATATAATGCTGAAATATTAACTAAAACTAATCACTTGGAAACTAATTTTGCCCAGTGAAAATTCTATCAACTAAAATAGCTGAAGAATAATATTATTGAAACTTAACACTAATAACAGATTTCATTTGCATCAGTCAAGATATGCAGTTTTAGCATTTTCAAAAAAAAAATGCGTTGTTTTGCACAGACTCAAAAGTTACTTTAGAAAGAATCTCTGAGCAATGATACTAACTTGTCCATAAAAAAATGAAGAAAATATGCAGGTGAATGTAGGGGTGGATTTTCAAAGTTTGACCTCTAGCATTACTCTTGATATTTTGTTTCAAGCATGCCTGATGTTGAAAGAACAACATATGAAACCAGATCTGTTTTTTCCTTTTGAGCACTTAACAGTACATGAACAAAATACTCCTTGATGCTTCACATCCATCTAAAGGACAAGTACAGAAACTCCATCAGATCAAAATAAGAAAATTGTTTTCCAACCTGAAACTCAGATGTTGCTACCAATCATTTTGCTTTGACGTGCTTCCTGTCTAATAGTAACCACTAAATTGGTGAAACAGCACATCCCTCAGCACAGCTACATTGATACACAGCATATCACCAGATTCTGAACAAAAGCTTACTACAAAATACCATTATATGCAATTGTCATGATTTTCGTGACAGAGCCCTCCCATGAATTGTTTATCCAGATTCAACACTGCATGGTGGTGCTTTTAGCTTATGGACTTTTAGGTTTTATTTTAAAATAAGGTTCCTAAAGATACACATGATCAATTTCAATGTAATTAATATTGGTTGCTGTAGAATAGTAATTATTCAAAGCGTAGTTAAAAGTTCAATATTTATATCATGATATTATCCTAGGCAGGAGACACAAAGTGTTGAAGTAATATCAAGTAAATCTAAAACAACAAGAAAACAGGTTTATTTCCCCCGCACTCATGTTGGGGAAGAGCAGATAAAGAACAAAATGCAGGGAAAATCTAGGAGCAACACTGCCATGGTTTGTCCTGCCTAACTCTCCGTGCAAACCCTCCTGGGGTTGGAAGCAGCCCATGCACAAGGTGCCTCCATTTATCCCTGCATAAGTTTTGCAGCATCCAAAATTAAAAAAAGATTGACTATAAGATGTAAATTTAATTTATCTGACTTTTTTTTTTTTTAAAAGTAATTTACATGTAGACCTAACCTTTCCAAACTGCCAGAAAGAAAACCTAGAAATTAATATTTTGACTGGAAAGACGATGAGTTGATTTACCACTTGGATTTTTACAAATACTTGCTGATGTTCTCTTTAACTAGCTCTGCATCTAAATCTTCAGCTAGTCTTCTTCAAAGGGATTATTAAACAGTTATCAGAAATGAAGCACAGACCGGTAAAGAACTTGAAATCCACACAAGTCTCCCTAAATTGAGTATTCTTGGGAGCATACCCGAGAAAAGTTTGTCTCTTTGCACTTACTTGTCAAACTTCACTTTAAACCTCATCAGATTCTTACTATTGTCTGCCCACCAACAGATCTATCCAGCATGCACCAGTTTTATCTTTTGTTCCCCAACAACCACCTTTTTGACCCTCTTTGGACATTTTTAAACTTACATTTCTTCAATAAAATCTAAATGTGTTTCTTCACTTGGTCAGAACATTTCACATGGAATTTGTCTTTGGCATTGGCACTGTTTTGGAGAAAAGTATCAGTGATTCAAAACCAGCATGTATAGGCTTTTCGCTGTTTTAACTTGATGCAGCTCCAATTAAGTTATTATGAATACTTCATTTAGTAGCAATGAAGAAAAATCCCTGTAGCTTAAAAGGATTGCCCAATTTTAGCCAGTTTCTACTGCTGCTACCACAGACATAAAACAATGCCACACAAGCCAAGTTTGAGGCCTTTTTGTCTCAAAGTTGCCTTTTAATTTCAAATAAATACACAAGAGTATATATTATTTCTGAAAATAAGTGTATTTTAAAGTTCCCCATTATATGGGACTCAGTTTGTAAACTAAAAATGTGAAGTTACGTATTTCTGAGAGAAGCCTTTTGTCAAGACGTACTCTTTATATTTTACCTTTTGTATAATAGGAAATTTAGATTAAACATGGGTTGCATACTTGTGAAGCTCTAGCCATTATTCCAAAAAGAAGAATTACTTAACCCATGAAGAAGCTAAGAGCTTTTGGAAAAGTTAGTATTCATAGATTAGTCCTCCACATCCTGGAGTCGCACGGCGTTTTCTTTCCTAGCGTGGATCCTAAGGGTTATCCACTGAATAGTATGCAATGATTTTAAAAACACATGTTGATGATTTAAGCGAACTGACATACATTTTCCACTTGCCTTTGCCAACATTTAAAATGTGATGGAACTATCCCCATACCAAATCATTCTTTAAGATATCACTCCACTCCTGGTTGGGCTTCAACACATCTTTCCTACCTGCAAAACCACTGCTGTCCATTAATGTTGCTATATTGCTGAAGTGCTCAGAGGGCTGATTGAGATCTTAGACATAGGGATGATGGTTTGTGTTTCTAGGATGAATTTCAAAGGGACAATCGTGTGCAGTTACTAGCTATAGATGATTGATATAAATGTTTACCCCTGTATGAAGTATTTTACAGTTTTACTTGCAGATGTGTATTTATCTTGAGTTATACTTGACATAGAGTTTCTTTCAATTTTTTTTTTAATACTATGTGTGTATTTTGGAAACCTTTTTAGATGTTAAAATTTTTGAATGGTTACAAATATTTCTTGTAATACTGAATTGTTATCTTATCTGGAAACTCTTTGCAGTAACTTTTTTGTATATATTTGAGGGCCTTTTTAAAAAAAAGTATTGTTTGTTCTTTGGGGAAAAGTTTTTACAACTTGGAAGCTTTCAGAAGGGCCTTCCTCTCAACTAGGATACTAACAGAGGTAAGAGTTTTCTTAAGTATTTTGCAGAACTAAGGATGTATCCTCAAGAAAATATTTATGGAAGTAATTTACTTTTTTTTTTTTTACAATGCTTTTGTCTGTATAAAGTATGCAACAGAACTACATTAAGAAGGAAATATTGTCTACATAAAATATTATATGAAAGTTGGTACATAATTCTGACAAAAAACCTTGCAATTCTTTAAGCCATATTGTTTTTGTTATCCTTGGATGAAAATATCAGTATTAAGTAACCAATATATTATTCAAGTGCTTAGACTTATATGAAAATGCTTATACATTTTATTTATGTGTATTTGGGGAAGAATCGCTAGAAAAAGCTATCACTAGACATATAGCAAGTGAGAGAAAAAGTATACTGTCACTTTATGACCTTGTGAGAGACAGAAGATGCTGAAAGCACCGCAGAGACTCAGCTTTCAGAGACTCTGAAGCACAAGTGTTGAGTTTCAAATGGTAGTTCTTGTCCTTTTTCACGGCAAGAGGGGAAAAGAGTTGGTTGGGACGCTGTCTGACAACTCGACTTTCACAACTCTTTGCAGACTGTGAGCTCAGCTATGCAGTACCGGCTACAGCAATAATATTAATCAAAGGATGAAAGAGAAATGGATTGAAGTAGATGATTGTAGGGATTTATGTTTATTTTAATTATAACTCATAGCAATATAGAATATGCATGTGCACGTATTTGAAGCATTTTTACACTTTACATTTCATGTAGTTTGATTATATTATGAAGGATTGGGTTTTTAGTTTGATATTTTACCACGCTAAAATGGGAGGTCTGCCCAACCCTGTACTGGATTCTTGTTTCCTTTAAAAGGTTATTTAGTACAGCACTCACTGCATTGTGTACTAGTGCTAAAACTAACACTGTATCTTATGAATTTCTTCAGCTTTAAAAAAAAATTAACCTCATTACTATTACATTTGTTTAGCTGTACCCATTGACCTTGTGAGATTCAGTTGGTTATTTGTATAATTTCATTTTCTGTAACTGTTAATAAACTTGTACAGCTAAAACAAACAAAACCTATGGACAAAGGCCTCGGAGGTACCAGTTCTGCTTCAGCAATCCAGATGACAGCTTGCTTACCGAGTGACTATGTTGCTAAACAGACTGTAAAACCTCTTGTGGATTGTCCATAAAATGGCATTCCGACATGTGCCTTATTTGCTGGATAGTATACAGCTTTCCTCTAGTATTCTAGCATTTTAATGCTACATTAAAAAAATGAAAAAAAAAAAATCAAGCAAGAGTGGTATGTTTTTTTGAGAGCTGCTTTGAAGTTCTGTGACCAGCTGTGCTCAGTTCCCCAGTGTAGATGAGCTGCAGCCTGGTGCTGGTGGTACAAACCTTTCCCACCATAACCATGGCCCAAAGCACACCAGGAAGGGTTTTTCCATTGCCACAGAGTTAGTCAACTGCAACAAGCCTGAAGCTATCCCAGGTGAAGAAGTTTTTACCCCAAGTCTTCCTTGCTCGCCACCTGCTTGGGTTAATCATGCCACCTCTGTTTTTAACAGCTTAGTACAGTCTAACATGTTTCTGAAGGAAAAACCTGCTATAATCACATAATAAACCATAATTCGATCCCTAATAGTTGGGCAGGAAACCTTAAAGTGCCAGAAAGTTGTTACCATGAAAAATAACATATTTAAAACATCATTAAGCTACATCACTTGAGATTTAGGGGAGGGGCTCTAATTTATTCTTTGTGAGCACTTACAAGTTGGCCAGAACCGTACCAAATGTTTTTTGCTTGTTAGCAATACTGCTCTTCTGTCCCCAGCTGAGCCCAATGGAATGGAAAAAAAGCACACATTCAGAGCTAGTTTGAAAATTGTTTATAAACCAAAACTCTTCAATGTAAAACTTACCAGTAGCACTGTTCTGATAGCCAGCTATAGCCACAAACCTAAGCTCAGCAATGAAGTACCTCTCCCCACCAGCACTGTGGACTCACCAAATACCAACAACTCAGGTTTAGCACACCACTGAGACTAGACAGAACACTGAGCAAACAGCCACATCCTAGCTCCCTATTCTTCTATGTTGTCCCTCAGAAGTATATTTTTCATATTGAAAACAGAAGTAAATTAACACAAACAACATTGCATCAACATAAATGATCAAGCTACTTTTCCCTCATTCTTTTCCTTCATTCCTGCATTCTTTAGGGTTGGACCTGATGATCTCAAAGACCCTTCCAACCCCTACAACTCTGTGATTCATTCCCAAGTGCTTTGCCACCATGTTCTGTGTGAATAAAGTTAAAGGACAATACTCATAACCAAATAATTACTACTTTTAGGAGCCAATTAGTTTCGGCTTTAGGAAAAATAATAGGGATTTCATAACAAGGATTTTGTATAACCTCCATGCTTTGAAGTTTAATGAAGAAGCATAGAAGGAATACTTAGTGCAGCAAGGCTACTCTTTTTAAGTTAGTCACACCACATCACACCCAGAGCCCCACCTCAGGCCCCCAGTGCATCAGGAGCTGTCTGAGCTAGACCTTACACCTTGAGCTAGAAATGACAACCAGACAACCTGCATGTCACACTTGTATTCACCGCCACAGAGCACAAGCCAACTAAGCCAAAAGGCTCCTCATTCGTCCACATCCCTCTGAAGAGGAAGCACACCTAAGACACTGACAATACGGGAGGCTGAAGCACCAGGCACTGAGCACTGCCAGTCAGGTCTTTCCACCACAAACCAAAACACCCCATACATAGAGGAGCATAAAAAATCCTCACTTCTAAGAAGCACACAGTGCACGATTATTTTGGGCTTCAAAAAAAGGGAATAATACCACACTAAGCTTTGCTTTTCTCTAGCATTCACCTCACAAACTAAGGGAGCCAGGCCATTTGCAAGCCCCCATCTCAATAACACCAAATGTTGGGCCCACACCTGCTGGCTGATCCCTCCTGTTGTACTGAAAGTAACACCATTGCCCATCCCTGCAATCCACATCTCAAAACCACGTCAGACAGCAAACAAGAACACCGGCCTCAGTACAACCCACCACAACTGCAAAACCTCCTTCAAGCCCCAAACACCTTTCACGATACTTTTACAACCTTCTGGAGACATTTTTAGCAACCGAACATATAGCGAGGCACCTACCTTAGTCAGCGTTCACCGGGACTCCTTCCAGGGCTGGGACTGAGGCAATCATGTCCACGAGGAGCTCGAGCAGCAGTCGGGGTGGCGCAGAGGCAGCCAACGCTGCGCTGCAAGAGAGCACAGCGCCATCAGCCCCCCGGCCGGTCATGGTGCCACCGGGACCTGCTGAGGAGGCCTCAGGGCCAGCGGCCCCCAGCAGCCTTTGGTGGCTTTGTGCCTCTTCCACAACTGAACTAAATTAAAATGCCACAACCATCTTACCAAAAAAAGCCAAAAATGGAGCCTGCAGAACCAGCTACGCTATCAAAACCCATGACAAGAGAAGAGGGAAGGCAAAACTTAGTCAAAACTTTGTGGATATTTTAAGTGGAGCGGGGTGAAAGCCAGTAATTTTACTTCACGTTTTTTGTGCTAGCCTTTCAGCAATTGAGAACAGAAATTAGAAATACCACAAAAAAGCTTGCTCATACACAACTTCTGAACACAACTAAACAGCAGGCATCAGAAACTGACTTCCAGCCAACTTCTTATAAGGTTTCCTTATACTTTCACAATATAAGGTGAAGATACAACTCAATGGACTCCTAAGGAGCCAGATACATGTATGCCCTATTTGATTTCAGCCAGCAAAACTGAGGTGAAAATTGAAAGTGTAGGAAAACACCACAGGAATAACAGAAAACGAGGTCCCAAAGCTTACTATCTCCAAATAAAGCAACAATAAATAGATAAAAATCACCAGATTTAAAACATACAAGAAAAAAAAAAAAAACAAAAAACAAAAAACAAATGGATACTTTCTCAGAGTACCTCCACACAGCTACTCAGAAACCCATGACCCTCAGGCACCCTCCAAACCAGGCCTGGGTTCCCTCTGCCCGCTTTATTGGCTCTGTCCCTGATTGCTGTGGGGCTACAGCTGTGCTGGGGCACAGGCACAGGCACGGGGCACGCAGCGCCCAGCCAGCTGCTGTGGAAATAAACAGGCTTGTGCGGGAGGGCAAGGACATCGGTGTCGCCAGCAGGAAGCCTCACGGGCAGCCGGGAGGTGAAGGACAGTTCAGTCTGGCTCTGGGAAAAACATGTAGCTCTCATTTTAACTTCCCGATCACTGAAATCTCAACACAATTAAGTCTTAAGCAGATGTAGAAATTTCATCAAGGAAATATGCAAAAGTTAAGCTTTCCGGGAAAGAAACTCGGAGAGCACACATTTTAAAGAACCAATTCAAACTGTTCTCCAACACACCCTGCTAATGTCTCTGAATGTGAAAAATTTGAAGTTGGACAAACCTTAAATGCACTTTGATTGTGTGGATCACATAATGCCCTGCCCAGCTCTTTGGTCTAAGGTGTGGATGTATTTCTTTGGCAGTTTGGCTACTCCATGAGATTGCATTGCTTTAATTAAATTGAGGTAAAAATGAAGTAAAGTTAAGTAAAGACAACCAGTACTCACTCACACCAACACCCTTCAGGATTTAAAGGAAACTAAACAATTTCATTAAATGAGTCTTCCGCAGGCAGGTGACCAGCAACCAGTGATACTCACCGCCTCAGGGTGGTAAGAGCAAAACCAAAGACAAGTAGCTGCTGACAGCCTGTGATCCTGAGTTATGGGCTGAAAAGCTGGCAGACGCAATTTGATGGTAATAAATACAAACAATGCGCAATTGGAAAGATGCTCCAAAGGGTGCATATTCGATTACAGGTTTTCATTTGCTAGTAACAGTCAGGAATAAGTTGTTTTGGATTATTTAACTGACTGACCATAATAGTTAAAATAAAATTCAAATAGGAGATGTGGAATTTGGGACACCAAACCAAAGAGAAAACATCATTATATGACCCTTATCACTCCATTACTCATAAGTTTTGCATCTCCAAACTCCAAAAGGGCAAAGCAGTACTCAAAAAAATCAGGACCACTGAAAGGAAAGGGGGTAGTTTCCCTAAGTAAAGAGGCTCTGTGCAATGGGCCTCCTCCTCCTGGAAAAGAGATCACTGAGGGCGGATGTGATTGTGGCCTATAACATAATAAATGACATGAAGAAGGGAGGAAACACTCATTGCTTCTACAGTGCTTTCCTACCAGAATCAGAGAAATTTGGATGAAAGTATCTGAGATAACAGAATTGAAACAAACAAACAAAAACATTACACAGCAGACTGAAATTCATAGCCATGGGATATTCTAGCTGTGAAAAGAATAAATGAGATCAAAAAAACAATTAGAAAACCACATTAAAAATATATATATCCTGAAAGGATTATTAACCATGAAGTGCAGCCCTGGCTCAGGAAGTCCCAAAGCACAGAAGCAGAGACCACGCCAACAGACATCTCATTGCCTGTTTTTAATATCTTTTCTGTGAGTAAGCTATCGTAGGAAAAGGGATACCAGAATGGGTGCAGGCTGGATTGTTGGGCTGGTTTGAAAGGACTGTTTTGTGATATATATGAGTTAAAACATACTGTCAGTCCTGTATATAAGGGAAAACTTGGTTGGCATCTGTTAGTCCAGCTGTTGGGACAAGCTTGGACAGCTGTTCCTGGGGAAATACCCCTCAGTTCCCCAGCACTCGTGCTCTGGAAGAAAACCCTGCAACTCACCCATACTCATGCTCGCTTGGGTTAATGGGCAGTATGCTAATTGCAACATCACTGTAATTTGTATTGTACAACTGAATACTGTGCACCTATAGCTATTTTTTTTATTATTATTATTAAATTCATTGCAGATATTTTTGCTTGAAAAGCTTGTCCTAATTAGCTATGTTTAAAGTTATTTTAAGCACATCCACACACCGCATTCCTGCTTGCTAGGACACACCACCTGCTCTTGCTCTCCCAGTGGTGGGACAGGGTTCAGCCCTCACTTAGCCTCACCATATGGCTCGCTGGGGGCACAGAGGAATTTACGGAGTCAAGTAAAATTTCTAAGAGGTGTTTGCCCACCTCATAGCGTCCTAAAGGTACAGTAAATGGAGCTCGTAAGGATGAGGTTGTAGGCTTTAAAAACAAGCGTGTGGAAATACCAAGCACTGGCCCCCAGCCCTCCTGCAGCTCCCATTCAGCTAAGGACTGGGAGCAGGCAAAGCCTGAGGCCACCACAAGCATGATGTATTCACCAACCCTGCGAGGGAAGAGGGCTTTGTGTGGACTGATGGCCTTGGCTGAGCCACGTGCCTCGCCACAAATGGGGTGGGAGGCAGCCAAGTGATGTTGGGCTTCAATGATGGCCTTCAGCCATGCTGCCCAGCCAGGGAGATCCCAAATGGCCATGGAAGTTGGTTAGCCTGTACCCACGTTTCCCCATCCACAGATCTTCAATGGTGTTCTTGAACCCAGGGGTACAAGCCCACACCCAGACATCCCCTCAAGCTGCTTGGCATCCTGAGGCACTCCCTTATGACAGAAAATGCATTCAGCTCTGGAGAAAGCATGGGACGTGCGAGTAACTGCAGAGCTGGACTGAGAAACACTTCGTAATTTATCTTTTCTGCTGTAAATATCTCTGCCCATCTCTCTGCTAGGAGAGGAAATGTCAGTCTGAAGCACACAGAAATATTCAGACAAAAGGAGTTACATCTGGAGGCTTTTGTGAGATTAGTGTAGCCAAGAGAAGAAAGTGAACTTTTTCTCCCCCTATTTCCTTCCTATGTTGAGCCCCGTGTGCCTCCTCGCAGGAATTTAGTGCAACGGGAGAAGAAATAGAGGCTCAAATAAGGCTTTACAGTCCCAGGAAAGGTGAAGTTCAGTCTAAGGTATGTGTGATTTGCTCCCTCAAGGACTGTGCATGTGAAATATAGCTTAGACTTTTTTTTTTTTTTTATTTAATGAGAATTTAATACACTTCATAAACCTGATCTTCTCTTCAACACCTTACCAGCAAACCTGGCAGATTTCAAATGGCTTTCTAAATATGAAAAGTAGGGGAAATTTGTCACCTGGGTTCTTTTCGTAAAGGCAGACAATACAGCTGGTAGTGTTTAACTTTACAGTAATGGGCATATAAACCTCGTTTTCACTCCTGGCAGGTATTCTTGTTTTCTTAAGAGTTAAAAACTGCTTTTCTTTTAACCCAGGTACTGCTTGGTCTCTAGCATGTTGCCAATCTCTTTCAGGAATACACAAGGAAAAAAAAAATCTGCTATTAATTCACTCCAAAGCTGTTCCCTTTTCCCCAGGTAAAAAAAATAAAATAATAATAAAATAAAATAAAATAAAAAAAAATCCCTATAACTAATCTTCTAAAAACCCCAGCTGTTTAAAATCTTCTCAGTCACTGGAATGAGACATGAATGTTTAGATTATAAAGTTGACCAGCCTGAGCAGAGGCTCCTTCATCTACAGATCTAGTTTGCAAATGACTGCATGAAATAATTGAAACTGCAAACTTCAAGTTTCTGGATGCTTCCTACCTCCCCTTTTTCTCTTACCTCTGTCAGCTCCCCTCACTGCTGGTATTTCACAGTTGTTGGCCTTCTGCGACCATTTTGTTTCAAGCCTGCAGCTCTATTACTTGCTTTGCATCACTCCTGGTTTTTGAAAAGCAGGGTTTTTTTTTGTTTGTTTTACAGTAGAGAATTGTGCCCTCCCCACATCCCCAACATAGTTCTTGGGTTCCTCCACACCAGCCCCTACCCCACACCACCAGCAGCACCAGCAAATGCCCTGGTGCTCCCCAGATTCTAAGAAAATGATTCATTGGCTTGAGCAATTTAGTTATTTTTCTGGTGAGAAGCATTTATTTAGGAAGTGCTGTCCTGAAGTTTGTTAGAAGGACACAGCCTTGTTTTCTTCCCTGTGCTCCTATGTGCATCCTCAGATGTCTCCATGCTCACCTGAGGCTCAGGTTGTGGCACTCAACAGCTCTAAGAGACCTTCCCACCCAGGATGGCTCTCATTTCTCTAACCCTGTTCAAAGCACTCCAATTGTTGGGCCAGCTGGAGGCACTGAATAGCTTTTTGGGGCAGAAAGCACTTTGCTGCACTAATATCAAAGCATTAGGGGAGACGAGTGACACAGTGCAATGGTTTTGCAGTGCAGGGAAAAAATATCCTGCACACAGTAAGCCGGGTGTGAAAGTGATCTTCTCAATTTCTCCTTTTAGCACTTTTGGTTGCCTAGTGAGAAGCCCAAGATGGAGTTAGCAGACGGGTCTGCAAGGCCGGTGCTGGCAAATGTGGAAACTTCTGCAGCCCCTGGCTCCGGCCCCGGCTGGTCCCCGCTCTCCATGAATGCCTAATTGAGGACGCCTGGCTTTTTCCGCAGGGGCGGGAGCCAGTTTCCAGACAGGGCACATGGGCGGATTCTGTAACTCTGAGCCTTGTAAAGTTTTAGCACCCAAAAAACGCCTCACGTCTGCAGCGTGATTCAGTGAGCTGGCGAGCGAGCGGCCTATGGGCCGGGGTGATGGTTGTTGCTGTTGGCAGGGCAGGAGCGGGGGCTGAGCCGCCCTCCCGAGGACAAGCAATGCCGACAGCAAATGTTGCCTTTTCCCCAAGGTGATGGGGTCAATATCGCCTACACCCTGCCCGATAACATCCCATGAGAAGCTCCCAGTTTACTAATTTCATGCTATTCCTTCCTCGGTGGGCCTGACCCCACACCCGCCAAGCAACGGGGAGGACGGCGCAGTCTGGCCTGTCGCGGATGAGGGGGTTTGTGTTAATCACATGGAAATCATTTTGGACAATTAAGCATACAGATGAAAGGCCAACTGGCTGCACATGTTGTGTGGGGCACGACCTAAAAGCAGCCCCAGTGATTGAGATGATGTAGTGTGAAAGCTGGATTAAACAGGTCAAGTAAATTTGGAGCAGCTAAAATAAACTGAAGTCCCTTCCAAAACATATGTTGTGCTTGCCACATAATATTGCTGTACGGTGGTAGCATGACCCAAACATGCCAGAACTGTGATACGCTTGTTCCAGGGTCACACTGCCAGCGGGAG